GCACATAGTAGGTGCTTAATAAATATATGTTAAACGTTGAATGAATATATATCATTTACATATTTCATTTCAAATATAATAGTCCTTACCTTAAAAAAAATCAAGACCTTCCTGTACTAAAAGGAAATATAAATTAACTGATAAATTAGCTAAGAAGAATTGACTGAGCTCCCAAAGAGCAACATTGTCCAGAGTTCTGTGAGGAATGCAAGAGCCTTTTTCTTCAAAGATATTACAGTTTAAGAAGGAAACGACATGTCTTAGGAAACAATTGGAGAACAGTGAGAAATAATATATTACTAAATGCTAAGTCTGGAAGTAGTCAGGCATTGCAGTATTTAGGAGGTCTGGGTTCTAGTTCCATTGCTGCCATGAACTGTGTGAACCTAGGGAAACCTTTGCCCTGCCCCTCCTCAACATCTTCACTTTGCAAATAAGGAGACTGTCCTACAAGATTTATTACTCCATTAGAATTCTGCACTTCTGTGGGTCTGCTGTTTCAGAGAAAGGAGAAGTCAGGAGAAATGTGTGCGTGGTTGAAGTGGGTGAGCTTATTACGCTAAAACATAATCCTCCTGCCTTTCAGCTGGATTATGTTTCTCAGCCTCCCTAAGAGCCATGTGAGGAAGTTCTAAAAACCTTGACTGAAAACACGTCTACATCAGGCAATCTTTCAGTGAATTCTGCTGAACCTTACCAAGTCAGGCATATACTACTGTATTTAAATATGTTGGTATTTTAAAGAAATTTCTAACGTCAAAATGTGAATATTATTGAAAATCTAAATATTTTGTGTAATTAGTCATATTCTTATCCTATCTTGTAAAAACTCATTGTCTTCTATTGTTATTTACCTATTTCATGTTTGTTATCTGTTTTGATTTGACCTCAGAAATCACAAGCTCCTCTAGGTCAAGAGTCATGGATTATATACTTCTCTGCTCCCCCGTTTCATTTTTTTGCTATATACAGCGTTTTACATGTGTGTTCTATGAACAAATGGATTCTAGTCCTTTCTAAATAATATCTGCTTAGTCTATTTACAGAAAATACATGTCACACCACTGTTCTACAATAAAAATTAGGGCAGGGGTAGATTTCATCGCCCATCATCATGGGTAGTCCATTATCTATGTTATCAACCCAGTATGAGCAATTGGCTTTGAATGGCACTATGGTAGACCAAAGATGATCAATATTCACAGCTTAGACAATACTGTAACAGGATGAGGACAGCAATGTCCCTATGCAGTCATGATAATACTTGGAAAAGTGACAGTGTTAAGAAGTCAGAGTTATGACAGTTACTTGAGGTGTGGGGAGAAGGACATCCTGTGTAGCTCACAGGCCCTAGAGACTTGGAACAATGTGTGCCCTTTCCTGACATGGCATCAGTAGACACAGTGTTAAGAAGTCAGAGTTATGACAGTTACTTGAGGTGTGGGGAGAAGGACATCCTGTGCAGCTCACAGGCCACTAGAGACTTGGAACAATGTGTGCCCTTTCCTGACATGGCATCAGTAGACAGGGCATGGGGAGCATCTGTCAGACTGAAAACCATCATTCTGGTTTACAGCTAAGAGTGCAGTTTCTTGACACCTAAGCCCACAAACACCTTTCTATGTTGGTAGATGACATTATCTCATCTTCCCCTGACTTGATATCTAAGCAAGTCACACAAACAAAGGGAGGATCAAACCACTGCTGCTTACCTACATCTGTGGCTAACGTCTCCTAAGCATGCCAACAGCAAAATCTCTTCCCTCTGGTTCGAATACTAGACCTGACTTCTCAGTGTTCTTTTCCTTTACTCATTTTATCTCTTCTTATCACTTGCTCTACCAGAGACCAAAGCAGTCTTTCCAGAATACAAGAACATGAATCCCTGGGGTAATACACACTTCTTTCTCATTCTAGTTATTTTATAAACTAAGAGGCAATTTTGTCTTTGGAGCTCCAACCCTGGCACCTTCTACTCTCATTCAACAGACTGCAATGGGGCTCAAGGAGATGAACAGACCTCGGAGTTGTTACAAGAGTTACCTGTGCAGATTCTTTTAAAGTTGGGATTTTCCAGAAGGTGTCCAGGTAGGCGGCACTGGAACCGATGTTGCCAGAACTCAGGGAACCAGGGATTCCTCGTATTAGTGTCCAGCCTCAATTTCAGGTAATAATCATCAAATGACCTGACCTCTGGAGACTGCAGCTTTATCGTGATTCCCCCGTTGGCTTCCACCTCATAACCTTCAATGACTTCATCTCTGTCTGCCCATCCATCACTGAAAAATGCAGGGATTGGGGTAGGGAGAGAGAAAGACACATGTCTCACAAATGGAACTCAGAGTTATGTATGAATGAAGCAACCCAGCAAGGACTACAGTCTATTTTAAGCCAGAATTACTACCCATTGATGATAATATATATATATTTTTTGGTGGAGAGTAGAAATTTGTGAAAGCATAATATCCTGTTTGTTTTTCACAGTAGTGAAAGTGATAATAAAGATAATGATAGTAACAATTACGACTAATGTTCATTGAGCATTTCCTAGTTATTGGATTATAAGCTACTTACTTTTACTGAGAGAGAAGTTCAGCAACTAGCTGAAGTCCTGGTGGATCCAGGCAATCTTGCTCCCAAGTCCAGTGCTCTTTACCACTAAACCACAAAGCCTATCAGACACGGTCCAAACTATAGAAAGTAATACCTAGGCATTCAGTGCCTTCACAAGAAGAGCTAAGTGAGGTGTCAATATTGCAAGCAAGACCATTACGTGAGCTGCATCATATGAGGTAGAGAACTGATTTATCTCTGAAATATACCAACCATAGTTTTTGCTCCTGGGACATTATTCAAATCTGCCTCCCACAGAAGCAACCAGATGCCTTTTTTTTTCCTAATGCTATTTCAGAAAATCAGTATTAAAGGAAAACAATCTTACCTCCAATGTAAAAAGAATCCTCCTTCTCACTAAATGGTAGTTCACTGACATTTTATTCAATGGGTTAGAATTTTTGAAATTTAGTCACCTTCTAGAACATTCACATTTATCACGACTGATGTAGCTCCAATTTAATTCAGACGTGGATGTGAGCTAGGCCTAAGTGGGTGTCAAGGAAAAATTGTTCCAGATACTTAAACAGACAAAGCAGACTTTATTCAAGACTATTGCAATAGGCGAGAGACATTGAAGTCAACCTTGCTGAAACAGAAGGTGTGAGGGTTTTTAAGAGCTGGATGCACTAGTGGAAGAGTACTGGAGGATACTAGGAAGAACATCAACGTGATGAGATCATCTGTGTTTGCTAATTGTCACTTATCAAAATTAGATTCCTACCCTCCCACAGAAACTGGAGATGTCTTTCACAAGGACCTGGGAGCCATCCCTTAGGTATATAATCATTAAGAATGGTGGCACACCCTCATCTCCAGAGAAAGTGTTTTTTGCTTGCTTCTCATAGAGCAGGAACTGGGCCAAATACATGTGACTGACCGTAGCTCATCTCTTGTTAACCTGAGATCAAGGGGGATAAATATGCTCTCCACTTAGCTGAGCTAATTGGTGCAGTTGCTATCTAGAATCCTCCCAGTAACCCACACATGAGCTACCTTGTCAACATGTCAAGGGGTGTAGAAGGTATAGCTGACTTAAAGTGATCCAAAACTAAAGGGACTTTGAGGTACAATATAGTCTAATCATCCAGACCAGAGAAGGTCTACATGCTTCTAAATCTGCTAGGATAGAGACAACAACCTTGCGTAGATCTTTCCTTCTTTCTTCCCTCCCTCTCTTTCCTTCCCTTCCTTCCTTCCTTTCTTCCTTCTGCATTTACCTAGCAGCCACTATGCCAGAGGCTCTGCTATGAATCCAACTAAGAATACAACAGACTATTCCTTGCCCACATGGTGTTACAGACTTCTTACTAAACAAAGATTACAAACTCTATGAGATTAAAGAAGTGAACAGTACTGTGCAGAGGGAGGGCTTGGAAGTTTAACTTAGTTTGATGTGAACATATATGTGTGTGTTGGGGTGGGAGGGTATGATTGGAAATGATTTCCTTCAGAAAGAGATATCTGAGCTGAGAACCAAAGGAGTCTGCATTAGTCTAGTGAAGAGAGAGGGAGCAATCTGTACAGAAGAGTCCTGGTAGATTAGCATGAAAGAAAGAGTATGGCACATTTAAGGAATTTAGAAAGAGTCAGTACAGCTGAAGCATAGAGAGACATGTGACATGAGACCGGGGTGGGCGCATAAATCACAGCCTAGAAACTGTTAACTTGAGAACTATGGAAAGTCCTTAAAGTGTTGCAAGCCTATTACTCAGTAAGGTTATTCAACTCTCCCCTCTCATGGTAAATGACCCAAGTATTGTTCTGGCAAGTTCTCTCTGCTCATTAATACTGAATATTATGGCCAGTCAAATTCATAGAACCAAAAAGACTGACTCAGTCATCTTTCTATGTGCTCAGTCCACTAAGAAAGGCTCAAACTAGTTTAATTATTTACATTTAAATCTATTTATATTTATATCTTAACTACGTCTGTAACAATTTGAAAATTTGAGCTATAGTTCACAACATGCTGAAAAGACAGGTAAAAATAAATCCAGTAAGGCTTTCAAGAAAATCTATCATAAGTAAATATTTGAAATCAGAATGACTAATAACTTAAAGAAAATAATTACTTTTGGACACAAGGTTAGGCTTGAAGTTTGCTTCTCCCCAAGGTTTGATTTTACTTGAGATTTCAAGGAGAACCAGGAGGTGTTAGGGAAATTATTCAAGTAGAATTACTTGGTGAATATCTTTTAAAGAGTTAATTGCTAATGTTATACATGAGATCTTAAAGCAATCACAGGTAAGGTGTTAGGGAAGACTAACGAAAAAAGCTGCTGAAAAACATCTATAAAGCAACTTTTCGTTTTCATACTTGTAAATTGTTTAATTTATGTATCACTTATCAAATGCATTTACAAAGAATTTTAAAAGGATTTTTGCCATTTAATTGTATTGGAATTTTGAATGAGGGTGTTGTTATCTGTGATGTACACTTTATAACTGGAAGTCAGCAGCTGGCCTGATTCCTGGCACAGAATCTTTCTTAAAGGGTGGTGGTAAGGTAGGCTGTGCTTGACCTGAAGTGACCTGTAGGCACCTGGTCACCTCCTCAAGAGTCTGGAGTGAATCCTGCTGTGCTGGGTGGTAACCTGGCCTCAGACAGTGCTGGACTCTCTGTAAGGAACATTTACAGCCTCTAGCAGCTTCTGCTGCTCCATCTGTTTCCCAATTATGAGTGCCTTTTCCTAGCTGGGCTCTGGAAATAAAACAGCATACTGTAGAGGAACAAAGTGCCCGTTTAACAGAAAGCTATAAATCTTAAGTATTCCTCACTAACGTATAAAGAATCCTTATTTCCTGTCTCCCACTCAAGATTTTTATACAACAATTCTTCATGAGGCCGTTCTTCTCTTCCCACCAAATCATTGTTCTATTCCCTCTAAAATTTCACATTCCAGACAAATAATTATAAAGTTTTTTCTACCTAATAAATTCTGATATTAACAATAGGAAAATATTACTTCTATTTTCATCAGTTATAATTTGACAGGAGCTGTGTGAATGTTACTTTTGCATTATATCAGTTAAAATAATTTAATAAGTAAGTTGATAATAAAAAAGAAATACGATAGTATTAATTTTTAAAAGTGTGCAAAAACATTTAGAAAAACCTATTTCCATTCAATTAAATAATTACAGTTTAGGTTCTAAGGCAATTTTATTTGTGGTGTAAGTTCAAGTAATTGTCTGTACCTGATAACAAAACTATAATTATTAAAAAATATTCCAAAGATTAACACATAACTGGGGAAAGGAAAAAAGCATAATAAAGCCATTATCTTTCAAAACACATGTAAACTAGCACAAAATTTTGCGATTTACAATGTTAACCATATTTCAAAGGTTGAAAAAATACAGCATAATGTACTTTAAATCAGGTAATGTCAATTGTGCAAGTTTCATGGAGATAATGCAGCTTTTTCAATAAAAACTTAGACTGGCTTTATTCATTTGACCTTTACCAGTGTCCCTGAGTAGTAACTGTTCTCTACGGCTGGAGTGGAAAACTTCATATTTTACGGGCAATTGGTTAAAATACTAAGAAGGATCTTAACTGAATAGTGGGGAAAAATTATCCCTAGACTCTATATCTCTGGCCCTGCCTAACAAAGCTTAAAAGCTTTGGTATTTCTAAGTAACTTAACTTTCTCTCAGAACTAGCTCAAGAATATTAGAAATACAAAATATCTAGTACCTAACAAGAAAATATTAACAATGTCTGGAATCCAATAAAAAACTACTAGATGTGTAAATCTGTAGGTGGAATGAATAGGAAAGAAATACTAAAATGACAATTATATGACAAAAAATTATCACATCATGATGCAGGTAAGGTAGGGGATTTTTAAAGAGTCATGTGATATGAACATATTTTATGAATATATTTTAGTTTGGGTGGCCAGGAAAGCATTGTGTGGTCAGAGAGGTGGCTTTGAAAAGAAAGCAGTTAAACTGAGATCTGAGCTACATAAATGCATGAAACACATGAAGGTCAGAGGGAAGAGGACTTCAGGGTGCGACTGCAAAGTCCCTAAGGAGGTGACTTAGTCAAGCAGCTGTGACTAAACATTATCCACTCCCACAGAAATCTAGACTCAAAATGTTTACATTCATCAGAATATTTTTTTTTTTTTGTCTTTTGTCTTTTTCTGTGTCCGGCAACGGATCGCAACCCTCAGTGTTGCCCCCGCACCGGACCGGGGACCGGCAACGGGACTGCAACCCTCGGCGTCGCTCCCGCGCCTCGCTCAGCCAGTGAGCGGGAACTGGTCTGTATGTGGGATCCGAACCCTCGGGCGGGAGCGCCGCTGCGCTTCCCAAGTGGCACACTATCTAGTGCGCCACCAGGTAGGCTCCCATCAGAATATTTTAATATACACTTTTTTTGTTTTTCAGCTATCCACTATATATTTGATATTCTCTAAGATATCTTAAATGTTTGAAGTGTTTTCAGTTTTCTTTAAGTCCTTATTGGGAAATGGAAATGACATTTTCTATGAGAAGGTGGTCTCATTTTGATAAACTAGATTAACGAGTGACCTCTGAGAGCAAATCTAGAGAAATCAGTCATGCCATCAGGGCTTACAGCAAGCCTCTCTTCCTTGCATCTCAATTAGCAGATCCTATTTCTATGTCATTATGAGCTCACGAACATCAC